CAGAAGAGAACACTTTTGGTGATAAAAGCTATGAGAGCGATTGTAGCAGCAAGGAAAAGAATGAAAACCCTGCTAAAACAAATGAAAACCCTGTTAGGCATAACAGCTGTACAAAATACTAATTTCCCGATCCCCTTCATGACTCCTTGACACCTCCAACTTACCCAAAATGGGTAATTCCACCCTCTGTGAGAACCATTGTATTAATAATTCCAAAATTTGCTGGCAACTGGTGTGTATAGTTTCAGGAAAACAGCCATACGGCAATACGGGTTTTTCTTCCTAGTAGTGTATATGTATTTGATGGTAATACTAGTAGAATTGTTGTTCATATATTGTTGGTGAAGATTGCATGATGACAAGCTCAAGTGAGGGTGAACTCCTTCAAGTGGCGCAATTAATCCGCGAGCGATGGAAAATTGTACGTTTATTTCATGAATAACGTTGTTGTTTTTCTCTTTATTACATTTCTTCAATATAGCTTTCGATTGAAGCGCTTAATACGTCTCGTGAAATGCAAAGGCGTTGAGAAGAAGCCTCTCTGAGGGAATTTCTGTGTTCTGAAGTAATATCAGTAAATAATATCAATTACGCAATTGTGATCATTTATTTGTCGGAACAAATCGAGACTTTTCGGATTCAACAATACATCATTGCTTAAGCTCGTGTCACCACTGGAGGGTTTTTATGAGTGGTCGGAGTTGAGTTCAGAACGAGAAATTATTTGGTTTGGAGTAAAAATCAAAATTTTATGCGATTTTAACGCATTTTCCTCGCGAATCAGCTCAGTCTGAACTGAGCGAATTCAGAAGATGAAAATTGGTGGAGGTGGTTTCGGTGAAATCTATGAGGCAAACGATATTCAAAATCACAACGAGCGAGTTGCTGTGAAAGTGGAGTCGAGCAAAGCCACCAAACAAGTGCTCAAAATGGAAGTTGCCGTCTTGAGGAGACTCCAAGGTGAGAGAATACGTCCAAAACATGTCCAACACTTATCTGCATCATCAATTTATCATGCACTAGAGTCCGCCTCAACATGATCAAGCTGTTATTCGGCGTTGAAGATTTCGATACTCGTTCATTCATGCCCGCTTTGAACGAGTAAACTTTCAGGAAAACGTCATGCGTGTAAATTTTACGGGTGTGGCCGTAATGAAAAGTTCAACTACTTGGTCATGAGTCTACAGGGTAAAAACTTAGCAGACTTAAGGCGAGAATCGCCACGTCAATGCTTCTCGTTGTCGACAGCGATTCGAATCGGTATTCAGATTCTTGCAGCAATTCGCGAGATTCATTCAATTGGCTTCTTGCATCGTGATATCAAACCAGTGAGTCTTTTTGCGAATACATCTTCATCATATTCCTTCGTTTAGCTTGTTATCATGTTATTCGGTCTCAGAATCTGTACATATCTCAAAAGTTTGTAATTGTGGCTGAAGGAGTTACTACTTAACGTGACATTCACTTGATAGTTCGTGAACATTCCTGAAGCACCCAACTACTAATTCATCTCATACTTCTTCACACTATCACTCAAAGAGAATGATAAATTTGACGTTTCTCTTGTATCGATATCGCGTTCTTGATCTTGTCTGTCTGTCTGTAATGCTTTTTAAGTGTTGGGAATGAAAAAACTTTATGTTAGAAAAAACCAAACTTTAAATTTTAAATTGACTTTTAATCTGAAGAAGTTGATAAACTCTGAAGTGAATAAATTATCCAAAAAATGCGAATGGTGTTATATTTTATGGACGCATTCATTGGATTAAATCTCCGTCCGATTCGATTGGATGCTAAATTTTCATGGCAACTGACTTGCATGATTGACAGATTGACTGGACGAAGTTGTTCTCGCTTCAACGATTCGTCGTGTTCTATTCGTTTTTTTTTTGAGTGTTCAACTAATTTGAAAAAGCAGTCAATTTGAGCGCGCTTCTAGTCATTACTCGCAACTCAACTCGACATCGCTTTGAGTCTGACTGATTAAATTGCGTTTGATTGCATCTGCTCGAAAGAAGTACGGTCAAGAAAACGAAGTAGAACGTGCATGAGAGAAATAAATTCTTCGCCTCAATCGTGGAATTTAGCTTATTCGCTTCAATTAGTTTTTCTCAATTGGATATTCTCCAGTCGGGCAATTCATATCTGTCAGACCGACATTGAGGAGGAAACTAGTGATACTGGGAATTGGGACTAGCCATCGGCTCATTAATCACTGAAACCGACGACTGTTCCTGCAGTGATGGGCTTCCATGTAATTCGGTTGACAGAAAGATTCTTATTATCACGTATTGCAATTCGCAGTCAAAACAGCTTTTCGATATGTCATTTCATCAAACTTATCGTCTGTTCTTCTGGTCAAATGGATGATATATTGAATGACTTCAGTCGAATCATCGCATG